TGTGATTGGTCTGTTCATATTTTCTATTTCTTCCTGGTTCAGTCTTGGAAGGTTATACCTTTCTAAGAATTTGTCCATTTTTCCAGGTTGTCCATTTTATTGGCATAGAGTTGCTTGTAGTAGTCTCTTGGGATGCTTTGTATTTCTGCGGTGTCTGTTGTAACTTCTCCTTTTTCATTTCTAATTTTATTGATTTGAGTCCTCTCTCTCTTTTACTTGATGAGTCTGGCTAATTGTTTATCAATTTTGTTTATCTTCTCAAAGAACCAGCTTTTAGTTTTATTGATCTTTGCTATTGTTTTCTTTGTTTCTATTTAATTTATTTCTGCTCTGATCTTTATGATTTCTTTTCCTCTGCTAACTTTGAGTTTTGTTTGTTCTTCTTTCTCTAGTTCTTCAGGTGTAAGGTTAGATCGTTTATTTGCGATTTTTCTTGTTTCTTGAGGTAGACTTGTATAGCTATAAACTTCCCTCTTAGAGCTGCTTTTGCTGCATCCCATAGGTTTTGGATCGTCGTGTTTTCATTGTCATTTGTCTCTAGGTATTTTTTGATTTCCTCTTTGATTTCTTCAGTGATCTCTTGGTTATTTAGTAATGTATTGTTTAACCTCCATGTGTTTGTGTTTTATACATTTTTTTCCTTGTAATTCACTTCTAATCTCATAGTGTTGTGGTCAGAAAAGATGCTTGATGTGATTTCAATTTTCTTAAATTTACTGAGGCTTGATTTGTGACCCAAGATGTGATCTATCGTAGAGAATGTTCCATGTGCACTTGAGAAGAAAGTGTAATCTGCTTTTTTTGGATGGAATGTCCTATAAATATCAGTTAAATCTATGTGGTCTATTGTGTCATTTAAAGCTTGTGTTTCCTTATTAATTTTCTGTTTGGATGATCTGTCCATTGGTGTAAGTGAGGTGTTAAAGTCCCCCACTATTATTGTGTTACTGTCGATTTCCTCTTTTATAGCTCTTAGCAGTTGCCTTATGTATTGAGGTGCTCCTATGTTGGGTGCATATATATTTATAATTGTTATATCTTCTTCTTGGATTGATCCCTTGATCATTATGTAGTGTCCTTCCTTGTCTCTTGCAACATTCTTTATTTTAAAGTCTATTTTATCTGATATGCGTATTGCTACTCCAGCTTTCTTTTGATTTCCATTTGCATGGAATATCTTTTTCCATCCCCTCACTTTCAGTCTGTATGTGTCCCTAGGTCTGAAGTGGGTCTCTTGTAGTCAGCATATATATGGGTCTTGTTTTTGTATCCATTCAGCAAGCCTGTGTCTTTTGGTTGGAGCATTTAATCCATTCACGTTTAAGGTAATTATCGATATGTATGTTCCTGTTACCATTTTCTTAATTGTTTTGGGTTACTTTTGTAGGTCCTTTTCTTCTCTTGTGTTTCCCACTTAGAGAAGTTCCTTTAGCATTTGTTGTAGAGCTGGTTTGGTGGTACTGAATTCTCTTAGCTTTTGCTTGTCTGTAAAGCTTTTGATGTCTCCATCGAATCTGAATGAGATCCTTGCTGGGTAGAGTAATCTTGGTTGTAGGTTCTTCCCTTTCATCACTTTAAATATGTCATACCACTCCCTTCTGGCTTGTAGAGTTTCTGCTGAGAAATCAGCTGTTAACCTTATGGGAGTTCCCCTGTATGTTATTTGTTGTTTTTCCCTTGCTGCTTTCAATAATTTTTTATTGTCTTTAATTTTTGCCAATTTGATTACTGTGTATCTTGGCGTGTTTCTCCTTGGGTTTATCCTGTATGGGACTCTCTGCCCTTCCTGGACTTGGGTGGCTATTTCCTTTCCCATCCTAGGGAAGTTTTCGACTATAATCTCTTCAAATATTTTCTCGGGTCCTTTATCTCTCTCTTCTCCTTCTGGGACCCCTGTAATGCGAATATTGTTGGGTTTAATGTTGTCCCAGAGGTCTCTGAGGCTGTCTTCCTTTCTTTTCATTCTTTTTTCTTTATTCTGTTCCACAGCAGTGTATTTCACCATTCTGTCTTCCAGGTCACTTATCTGTTCTTCTGCCTCAGTTATTCTGCTATTGATTCCTTCTAGTGTAGTTTTCATTTCAATTACTGTATTGTTCATTCTGTTTGTTTGTTCTTTAATTCTTCTAGGTCTTTGTTAAATATTTCATGCATCTTCTCAATCTTTGCCTCCATTCTTTTTCCAAGGTCCTGGATCATCTTCACTATCATTATTCTGAATTCTTTTTCGGGAAAGTTGCCTATCTCCACTTCATTTAGTTGTTTTTCTCGGGTTTTATCTTGTTCCTTCATCTGGTACATAGCCCTCTGCCTTTTCATCTTGTCTGTCTTTCTGTGAATGTGGTTTTTGTTCCACAGGCTGCAGGATTGTAGTTCTTCTTGCTTCTGCTGTTTGCCTGCTGTTGGATGAGGCTATCTACTATACTGTCTTTTTTTTTTTTCGGTACACGGGCCTCTCACTGTTGTGGCCTCTCCCATTGCTGGAGCACAGGCTCTGGATGTGCAGGCTCAGCAGTCATGGCTCACGGGCCCAGCCGCTCCATGGCATGTGGGATCTTCCCGGACCAGGGCACGAACCCGTGTTCCCTGCATCAGCAGGCGGACTCTCAACCACTGCGCCACCAGGGAAGCCCTATACTGTCTTTTATATTTACCATTATATTTTCCTTTCTGGTGTTGCTGGTTTCTTCATGTTTTTGGTTATTATCTAGTTTCCAGTACCCGAAGAACTCTCTTCTTGTAGAGTGAGTTTGCTGACAATGAATTCTCTCAGGTTTATCTGAGAATGTCTTAATTTCTCCATTTTATTATAATTTGCCATGTATAGAATTCTAGCTTGACAAACTTGCTCTCAGCATTTTAAATATGTCATTTATGCTTTCTGGGGATAAATCAGCTCTTGATATTGTTGAGGATTTGTGTATGGTGAGTTGCTTCTCTTTTCCTGATTTCAAAATTCTCTTTTTGTTTTTGGCTTCCAACATTTTATGATGTGTCTGAGTGTGGATCTCTTGGAGTTTTTCCTGTTTGAAGTTCATTAAGCTTCTCAGAGGTGTAGATTAATTTCTTCATCAAATTTGCAATGTTTTTGGAAATCATTTCTTCAAATATACTTTCTGCCCCTTTCTCTCTCTTTTCCATTCTATTATGCATATGCTGTTGATCTGTAAGGCTGTGTTAAGTTTAATCTTCATTTGTTTTTTAATAAAAAACACAGTCTTTATTTCCCTCAAAGGGGGTGCACTATTCCTGGAAGTACAGTAATACCTGGGTCAATGCATGGAGTGGATGGAGCAAAGTTCTATTCCATCTCCTAGTTCCAAAATCCATTTAATATATTGTCCTTGGATAGAGGGTGTGTCAGAAATTAAACTGATAGGAATAGCTACTATTCTTGCTTCTTGGCCTTTTGGCTAAGATCAATTCATTCTTTTTTTCCCTCATGCTGCTTAATCTCAATGGACCCATCTTTAAGTTCACTGATGATTTGTTCTGTGTCTAAGACATCATTCTTATGTCTCTAGGACATCATTCTTAGACTTTCCTTTAGTTCTTTAGACATGCTTTCATTTAGTTCTTTGAACATATTTAAAGTCTTTGTCTAGTAAGTCCAATGTCTGGGCTCCTCAGGGACAGTTTCTATTAATTGCCTTGTTTTTTGCTTGTATACGTGTATACTTTGAATGTCTTGTAATTTCTTTAACAACTAGTCATTTAAAATAATGTGGCAACTTTGGATATAAAATCTGCCCCCCCACCCCTTGCCCAGGGTTTGTTGTTGTTGCTCATTGTTTGTTCGTCCAGTGACTTTTGAGTTGATTTTGTAAAGTTTGTATTCTTTGTCATGTGTAGGCACTGAATTCTCTGCTCAGTTAGCTTAGTGGTCAGCTAATGATTGGACAGAGATTTCCTTACACACTTGGAAGCAAAAATTCACCCAGTCTTTGCCAAGGCATTCTGTGTGCATGTTGGGGCATGCCTTCAACATTCAACGAGGAAGTTGACAATGCTGCCTTAAACCTTCACTTCCTGCTTGCACAGAGCCTCAAAGTCAGCCAGAGGTGAGACCTCAGGGTCTTCTCCATTTTATATGAGCATGTGCAACGGTTCTATAGAGGCATGTGACCTTCTAGATTTTCAGGAACATGTTGGAGTTCTCAAAGCCCCAATGAACATCTCATTCCCAGCTTTGCCTTTTAAGTTTTTTGGTTAGTCTATTGTTTGCCCCCAACTGTTATCTGACCCCCCCACCCCCCACCCCAAGCAGCTGTGAAGTTGAACCACTTCCTCTAACTGTTTTTAACAAATACCTACAGGGAAAAGACTTTTTGCATTGTGTGAGCTCTGAGTCAAATAAAATAGAATCTTACAAATGGGATCTCCCAGGAAACCACGAGAAGCATCGAATAATAATAATTCTCTGGGAATGAGGCTTTAAGGGAGCACCAACCTGTTCTGCCTCCTCCAGTGGCTGCTGGGCTGTTGGTTTTCAAAGCTACCACAGAGCTGGGGGAGGAGTGGGAATAAGGCAAGGCAAAATGCCATAAGCCTTGCTGTTCTTACTGAGATTTAGACATTTTTCTTGAATAAACCCTTTTCAGCTTGAATAAAACAAATTGCTGCAAACCTTTGGTCAGTTTCCAGAGTTCTAAAAAAGTTGATTCTATTTTTCAGGTTTCTTGTTGCTTTTCTGGAGGAGAGAATTTTGAGGTCCTTGTTCTCCCATTTTTGCTGCCACCCACTAGCATGTTCTTACTGCATGGGATAAAAAGGTGCTGGGGATCCAAGTGATGATAGGAATTACCTATCCCCCAGAGCATGGGGAGTGTCCCACAAATCAGTGAGACCACCAAATGTTCTTCCTTCCCCTAATACAGACCAGCATACACATTGAGACTTGGTGTTCAAGCCAGCTTCTTCTAATCAGATAGATGGCTAGACTAGATGACCTGTGGTTCCTTTTGGCAGAGACTCTGACTTGAATGTATGTCTCCTCGCAGGTCAGCCTCACCCTGCAAGAAATAATCAATGGTGTCAATGCCTCAGATCCAGAACTATGTTTCCAGGCCACCCAGGCAGCCAGGTATCACCAAACAGACTTGTATTATTGACAGATACATAGCTAGAAATGGGTTCCAGCAGCCTATTTGGTTTCTTGGCAGTGGCAAAATGCCCACACAATATAAGAAAAGGCCGGTCCATCCAAAAGTGAGATGAAATTGCTCCTCTACCCTGTCCTTGAGAATAACTTAAGAGAATAACTTAAGATATGCAAGTGGTCAGAGATGAATGGCTTAATTTAAATTGGCCTCAACAGGAATGGCGGCTCACAGATAATAACTAAAGGGAAAAATATTGCTTCATCACTGCAGAGTGCTACCGGCTGAACTCTAGGATATGAAGGAGCTCTGGCCCAGGGGTTTGTTTCATTTGATAGTTAGGAATGCCAAGAACATCCATAAAGGAGGTTCTTCTTACCTGCCTCACAGGACATGTTCTTGTCTTTTCTCTTACACTACGAAGGAAAATGCTGTCCCGGGAAAAGAACCCTCCTCTGAAGCTGATTGTTGATGCAGGGCTCATTCCCAGGCTGGTGGAGTTCCTGAAGTCATCCCTTCATCCCCGCTTGCAGCTTGAGGCAGCCTGGGCTCTGACCAATATTGCCTCCGGTACTTCGGAGCTGACTCGTGCTGTCGTGGACGGAGGGGCCATCCAGCCCTTGGTTGAGCTCCTGTCTTCCCCTCATATGACTGTGTGTGAACAGGCAGTGTGGGCCCTTGGTAATATAGCAGGTGAGCCTCTCCCCTTGGTGGGGGGCAGGGGGCAAAGAAAATGGTGGGCCTTGTGAGTGGCATGCGATGGGAATTCTTTGGGTAGTATTGTAGATCAGACATTTTAAGTATAAATACCTAGCAATGCTGGGAAGAGTACGGGCCTTTCCGAAATTCAGAGTCAAGTTCAGAGACCAAAAATTGAAGCTGAAGCTAGAAGGCATGGTATGTTCTGAAGCTCCAGGCTGCCTAGGGACACCTGCCAAGACTGGGGTCCTACAGCCTCAGGGCTTAGTGGCTTCAGGAACAAAAGACAAGTCTTTGGCTCATGCAATGTGGGGATTTTATGACAGACCCTTACATCACCCAGTACCCTAAAAGAATTCTACCTTCAGTGAAAGTTGCCCAGGGAATACACACGAAAATGTCTGCTTAGTTTAGGCTAAAAGTCTCCCCTGAAAACGCAATCCTAAGACTGGCCTCATGGATTTGGGACTGGATACTGTATTCCCTGCATGGTCTGTGAAAACACAAGCTGGGGAGTGAGTGCTGTCAGGTTAGGAACTCCAGGATCCCTGGCTGAATATAAATGTGACGCTCTCTGGGGGAAACAAACTCAGTCGGGCCCCTCAGGATTTTGACAAATTAAGATCAGCCAAATATTAGCAATTTCAAGTTCAGAAAGTCAACAATCCACTATGACTGAGTCAGCAGAAGCAAACAATGTGATTAGACCTCCAAGGACTTCAGAGGATGGAATTAGCAAACACAGAATATAAAATAAGTCTACTTTTTAAAAGCTTGCAGAAATAAAGCAACTATTACAGAGATTTCGTCTCTCATTTTGCTTAGTGCAGTAAGGAACAGGCGAAATTGGGTGGTGTAGTATAACTTATACCTTGCCTGATGATTGAAGAATTACAGGCTGAGACGTCTAGGGTCTAAAATTGGTATTCTAGCCAAAGTAGCAGAAAACTGATGGCTAGAATCTGTCCATCTCCCAGACTTTGTTCTGAGTTGCATTTGGAAGTTACTGCCCCATGTCAAAGCCTTCTGGGAAGACAATTTGGTCTATAGTGGCCTTTGTCTCCTGAGAACCATGCTGTGAGATGCCACCAGCATTTAGAGCGCGCTGCCTGGGCCCAGTTGGCTGGCTCCTTGATGGGTCCAGAGACTCTGCTTATAGCAATCCCTGCTGTGTGGTGCCTGATTTCCACATCAGGCCATCTATTCAACCAACATGTCAGAGACCCAGGGTCTAGTTCATGGCTATACTATCTACTTGCCCAACCCAGGAATGAGTTTTGGCCTCTCCCCCTTTGCAGAGACTTGTGAAGAATTACTCACCCACCCCAGGACTCTCTCTGTTCCCTCTTTGAGTGTCATGTTCTTGTCTATTTGTAGGTGATGGACCAAAATTCAGAGACGACGTTATCTTGAGTGATGCCATTCCACATCTGCTGACCCTGGTTTCATCAAGTATACCAGTGAATGTCTTTTTTTAATTAATTTTATTTATTCATTTATTTATTTGGCTGCGTCGGGTCTTAGTTGCGGCATGCGGGCTCTTTGTTGCGGTGTGCAGGCTTCTCTCTAGTTGTGGTGCATGGGGTCAGTAGGTGCAGCGTGCAGCTCAGTTGCCCCGTGACATGTGGGATCTTAGTTCACTGACCAGGGATTGAACCCGCGTCCCCTGCATTGGAAGGCAGATTCTTAACCACTGGACCACCAGGGAGGTCCCCAGTGAGTGTCTTTTTAATGAGGTAACCTAGTTAGGTAACAGGTTCCCAAAGTTGGGAAATCGCATATGTAATTCCAAATCAATGCTAGGCCATGTTGTTGCTGCCCGGCCCCCTAACAATAGTAATGATGAACAAGGCCTAGGACTGAATATTACTTTGGGTAGAAGTTGATCCAAATTTGTCCTCAAGGGCAGTAGTGCTGATCTTTCTTTGCGGGGGGCGTTGGGGATTAGAAGAGACCCATTCAAGTTTTTCTAAGCTTACAATCCTGCAAAAGTAGATGACTGAGCTCTCTGTTCCAGGGGTACAGACAGAATTAGCGGCTCACCAGTTCTGTTCCTGGGTAATAAATAGGGTCTAGGTTGGAAGCTTAGGGTCCAAGTTGATTGCTGTGGCAACACTAGAGGACTCCCTGGGTTAGGAATGGAATTTGGGTTCTAGTTTTGCCTCAAACAAAAATGAAGAGAAGGCAGCTTCCAAAAGTCAAGGGAATAGATGCCCTGCCTTCAAGGTGAGAGAGAACCTGATATGGTTGAACCGGAAAAAGGCTGGCATGACCAAGGGAGCTTGCAAGGAGAGAGCGATATAAGATGACAAGTAGGGCAAGGGACTTAGACATCATCTTGGTGGCAAAAGGAAGGCTTTGGAGGGTTTCAAGGCAGGAAGTAAAGTGGCGTGATTTTCCAGAAAGACCATTCTGGCTGCTTGCTATAGGATTATAGCAGAGGGAGATGGAGAAGCAGATGGACCTGGGTTGCTGCTGTGATGGGCATAGAAGGGGGAGACAGAAAGAAGTGAGGATGCCCTCGGGTTTCAGGTTAGTTTGTTTAGAGCACTGTCCTCCTAGAGATGTGGGGAGGATAGAGGGAAGAAGGAATTGGAGCCTTAGTTGTGCCTATTAAGTTGAAGCCAGTGAGAGGCATCATTGCAGCAACAACAGATAGATAGATATGCAGGTCTATCTAGATGATTGTGCATGTATGTGTCATCCAGCTGGGCAAGGTCAGCCAGAGCAGGGATCAGCCAATCTAACCTGGCCAACTGCTTGTTTTTTTAAATAAAGTTTTATTTATTTGAAATAAACAGCCACACCCATTCATTTACATACATATTGTCTGTGGCTTTTGCAGTGTTAGAGGGCAGAATGGATAAGTTGCAACAGAGACCACGTGGCCTGCAAAGTTGAAAAACTTTATTATCTGGCCTTTTACAGAAAAAGTTGGCTGACCTCTGCTCTAGAGTGTGAGGAAAACCAAGACCAAGTCCTGAGGGCTCTGAAATTCAGAACTCAGTAGGACCTGCTAAGAAGAATGAGAAGAAACAGCCCATTTGACAGTACAACACCAGGCTTGGTGTCACAGATGGCAAAAAGAGCTTTTTCAAAAAGCTTGGATTTGGTGACTTGGAAGGAGCTGATTTCATCACTAACTCCAAAGAAGTAGGGGAAGAAACCAGACTAGAAGGGGGTAGAAGAAGGAGATAGACAGTGAATACGGATGCCTCCTTGAGGATGGATTCTGAAAAATAGAAGTGGGGTGATGGCTGGAGAGGCACCAAGGGTAGGGGTTGAATGTCGCATAGTGTGTTTCTATACTGGTGGGACTGATCCAGAGGAGAGAGGTGATCCTGGGGACGGATGGGAAGACTGATCTTCAAATAGAAGGTCAAAAACGTGGTTAGGACATGTTGGTAGAGTTCATAGGCTGGTGGGAAGACCAAGTAACTCCTGCTTGATCTTTGTTTCATCAATGAGAAATGAAATTAGGTCATCAATCGAGTCAAGTGGGGAAGGACATTTTGAAGAATATAAGGAAACCTCCATCTGACGTTTGCATATAAAACAAAGCTCATTCTCTGTGTTCCTCCTATACTTATTACCTAGAATAAATTCCTGTTTGAAGTTCAAAGGCTTGGGTTCATGTGGGTCGATCCTATTGATCAAAGATGGTCAGGACACATTGCCATTGGTGTTTTCCTTCTTTGCACCCCTTGCTGGAGACAGTCTCCTCGTTACAGGTCACATTCCTGCGGAACATCACATGGACCTTGTCCAACCTGTGCCGGAACAAGAACCCATACCCTTCTGATCACGCAGTGAAGCAGATGTTGCCCACCCTCTTCCACCTCCTGTGGCACCCAGATGAAGAGGTTCTCTCGGACACCTGCTGGGCTCTGTCCTACCTCACCGACGGCTGTGATACACGCATCGGCCAAGTGGTGGACACGGGGGTCCTGCCCAGGCTGGTTGAGCTCATGAGCAGCTCAGAACTCAATGTCTTGGTAAGTGTCCCGGGTCATGTCGGTCTCTGTAGGGGCCTTCAGATTAGAGTCTGTGGGTCATCGTCACTTGAGCAGGTTCTGTTCTCTCCTACCCCCAAGCCTTCCCCAGCTGACATTCATCCTTTACCTGGAACAAAGCTGTTCATCTGCATTTCCCTGGTCTCTGCTACTCTGTAGCCAAAGACTTGAATCGACTTTGATCCAAAATCCTAGTGGGTATTCAGTGACTTACTTTTTCTTGGTCTGATAACTAGAAAAGATAGAAGAGCACCAATTAAAATTGCTTATAATCCCTCCACCCAATGAACTATTCTTTTGTGGCCTTTCATTCTACTGGTCTATGCATGTAGACGTTAACAAGTTGGTGTGCATGTTTGTGTGTCTGTGTGTGTGTTTTAACGTGAAGCTCGTAACATTTGAATTTCTTACTCAAGTATAAAAGATAATTCCCCCTTATCCTCTCCCCAGCTGGTTCTCTTAGACTACTTCAGATATAGGTGAAAAGTAAGTAAAACCACGCAAATACTTGACTCTGAGACATATGTCACTTACATAATATACTTCTTGAAAATGTAGTTTGAAGCATGGGTACCCCTTTTGATTTCTATGCCTAATATTGTATATTATGCAGTTGTAGCCATCATCTGTTCTGAGATGAGGGTAGCATTCCTCAGAAGTCAAGGTTAGTTTGGGGATCGTGCCGGGATCATGGAAGGTGTGAAGACAACATCTTCAAGGAGTTGTTCATCGTGGGGGCTTGGGGCCCAACTGCGGCAGTCCTGGCAAGGCTGTGATTGGCCTATGGCACTTCTAACATCTCTCACTCGAGCAGCAGATACCTAGCACGATAGGCTAGGAAAACTCTAGAACTGTTGATGGGCTGTGCTGGGGCTGCCACTACCATGCAGAGAAACCAAAATAAATCCACAGTCAGCCCTCCTAGGACAGTTGTCTTAAGCCCAATCATAGACCCGTCCTGGGGACCTTCAAAGTTATTGAGAGAAGGGGCTTCCCTGGTGGCGCAGTGGTTGAGAGTCCACCTGCCGATGCAGGGGACACGGGTTGGTGCCCTGGTCCGGGAAGATCCCACATGCCACGGAGTGGCTGGGCCCGTGAGCCATGGCCGCTGAACCTGCGCGTGTCCGGAGCCTGTGCTCTGCAACAGGAGAGGCCACAACGGTGAGAGGCCTGCATACCGCAAAAAAAAAAAAAAAAAGTTATGGAGAGAAGCTTTATGAATACACCAAAACAAAAAGTCCACTGAGATTTCACTAGCTCTAATAACATATACAACAGAAACTTTTTTTTTAAATGAGGTTAATTATAGGGACCAGCCTCATTCCCAAAGTGGTTTGTGGTGGTTGACTAGTTATTTATTTATTTATTTATATTTTATTTTTGCCTGCATTAGGTCTTTGTTGCTTCGCGCGAGTTCTCTCTAGTTGCGGCGAGGGGGGGCTACTCTTGGTTGCAGTGCGTGAGCTTCTCATTGCGGTGGCTTCTCTTGTTGTGGAGCACAGGCTCTAGGCGCGCGGGCTTCAGTAGTTGTGGCTCGCGGGCTCAGTAGCTGTGGCTCGCGGGCTCTAGAGCGCAGGCTCAGTAGTTGTGGCACACTGGTTTAGTTGCTCCGCAGCATATGGGATCTTCCCACCCTAGGGCTGGAACCCGTGTCCCCTGCATTGGCAGGTGGATTCTTAACCACTGTGCCACCAGGGAAGTCCCTACAGCAGAAACTTGATACTCGTGCTAAATACAAATTCAGTAGAAATTATTACATTGTAAAGGCAACCATCAATTTACCAATTTTCCCAATGTAAGGATATGAAAAGGACAGCATCATTTGATAGTATATCTCTTGACCTCTATACCACTTGAGCTGGAACTACTGGGGGGCTAGCGAGTACCTTTAAACTATGTAAACAGCCATGGATGCACAGAATTAATAAGGATCGTGGATATAATCATTGTTCACAGGCTTCCAGAAAACCATCAGCACAGCACGATGGATGTTTGGGAGGGCACGGAGCTTGGTGCAATGGTCACCTTCCACGGTGATGAATTCGTGGTACTTGGTGACACTTTCTCACCTTGTTCTTCCAGACCCCCTCTCTGCGCACTGTGGGGAACATTGTCACAGGGACGGACCACCAGACCCAGCTGGCCCTGGACGCAGGCATCCTAGCTGTGCTGCCCCAGCTCCTCACACACCCCCGCTCCTCCATCCAGAAGGAGGCAGCCTGGGCCCTAAGCAACGTGGCCGCGGGGCCCCGCCAGCACATCCAGCAGCTGATCGCTTGCGGTGTGCTGCCTCCCTTGGTGGCTGTTCTAGAAAACGTAAGTGGCCCACGTGACAAAAGGTTACTCTCCAGCGGGCCCTGTGTTGAACTTCTTTAGCTCTTCAGAGGCAGGCTGAGAAGCAAAACTAATTGAGATCACGACGAACCTATGAAACATTAAGTTTCCTAACTCTCCCTGAAAAAAAGAAAGGGGCATCCCATTTTGAACAATCCATTAAAAATTTAGAAGACTCAGCAAGAATTGGCCAGTGAAAAGGTGATCCCACAGCTCAAATACCCAGAGGAATCTTGAGCTGGTAAATACTGGCTCATCTCTAGCGTTAAAAGAATGTGCCATCTACTCTCCTTGGCAAAAAGGGATGAGGTTTGGCTTGGTTTTGTTTTAGGAGGAAAAACGTATCGGGTTACAGTGATATTATACACTGAAGACTTTGCAGTGTAAAAATCACATTGATGAAAGGGGTAATATATATAGAAAATCCAGATATAACAGTAGAAATACAATAAAGCTTCCTTCTACCTCCTGATTCCTACTTCCTTTCCCCAGGACAATTAAGAGGGTCAGCATTTCTTTTTGTCACCTTTTAGTGGATGAGCTATGTTTAAACCATCGACTTGTGAAACAAGTCAGGAGTGGTGACCTGGGGTTGCGGACAGAGGTTACTGAGTAGGATGGGGAAAAGGAGGCACTGGCCGTGTCCTGCTCTCAGGTTGGCTGGTGGGTTCCCAGGTGTGCATTAGGTACAAAAAGGTAGCCCAGGTTTGCTACCCAAATCATGGCATCTTCCAGTCTATCGGACACTTCCTATCCTACTGTGAGTCTGTACGTATTCTAATCAGAAACATCTAGTCAGGATCAAGGAGTAATCTTTTTTCAAACTGTACCTTTTGAACTATAGCTTGCTTGGAGCCATACGTTTTTTGTTTTGGTTTGGTTTTTTTGGTGTTTTTTTTTTTTTAACTTTGTTTTAAACTGAGTCAGTTTTCCCCAGCCATAAAATGGGAATAACTCCTCCTTCAAAGGGATAGAAGGATCTGTGATAAATGACTCCCTTCTCTCTGGGCCAAGTGCTTTTTATAAATGTAAGTGATGCATTGAGTGATATTTCAGTGGCTTTCCTCTGTCCCCTCCAGACTGTGTGCTCAACTTTGTAGCTCTGGAGCTTCTTGTCCAAAGTTTTACTGGAGCAGAAAGACTAGAAATGTAGCCATGGGTCACTATAACCTAAAATCCCTAATTTGTATTGATTGGGTGATGTTGGTTCTCTTTTTCCGATAACCTGACTTAAGAAAGTGAGTCTGTTTGAATTTAGAACCTCCCTCTAAGACCCCACATGAGTCTGCCTTTCCTCCTCCTTGGCTTCTCAAAGATGCTGTCTTCTGCTCAAAAACTAAAGGCAGGTTGCCAAGGGATTCTGTGTAAATTGCACATATAGTCCTGGGAATTAGGTAGTCCAGCCTACCTAGAAATTGAACCATGTTTGCATCAGTATATTTAAATTCTTCAGGATCTGTCAAGAATGGAAATGTTCTCTCTCTGCAGGGAGACTTTAAAGTCCAGAAAGAGGCTGTCTGGACAGTGGCTAACTTCACAACTGGGGGCACCGTGGACCAGTTGATCCAGCTTGTCCAGGCTGGAGTCCTGGAGCCACTAATAAATCTTCTCACCATCCCAGACACCAAAATTGTTCTCATCATTCTCGACATCCTCTTTTTTATCCTCCAGGTGAGCTGTTCTGAACAGGTGGGTTTCTAAATAGCAGTCTCTAAATTAAGATGTTTAATTTGGTCCTTAAAACCTAACTAGGGGCTTCCCTGGTGGCGCAGTGGTTGAGAGTCCGCCTGCTGATGCAGGGGACACGGGTTCGTGCCCCGGTCTGGGAAGATCCCACATGCCACGGAGCGGCTGGGCCCATGAGCCATGGCTGCTCAGCCTGCGCGTCTGGAGCCTGTGCTCCGCAATGGGAGAGGCCACAGCGGTGAGAGGCCCGCATACCACACACAAAAAAAACCAACAAAAACAAAAAACCTAACTAGGATTCTCTTTTCCTCTCTACTTCCTCACCCCCTCCCTTTGTCCACACATCCTGTGGATGACAAGACAAGAGGCCTTTCAAAGAAGGTCCATCATCTTCATTTTCTCAGATAAGTGTTTGTGTGCCCAGCACTGTTTTAGATGTTCAGGAAATGACAAAGCAAAGTCCTTGTTCTATAGAGCTTTTGTATTAGTGGGGAGGGGAACAGACATCAGATAGAGAGTTACGGGTAAAATATATCTGATAGAGGGGTAGTTACTGATGGCCCAGAGTGGAGAGGGGATGGTGATCTCTTATATGTAGTAGTTAGGAGAAACTTCACTGAGGAAGGACATTTGAGCAAAGACCTGAAAGAAGTAAGTGAGTCCTGTGGATACCTGGGAAAGAGCACTCTAGGTGAAGGAAATCTTAAAAAGCAAGGAGGGGGGTGTGGCCAGAGCAGAACAAAGGGATGAAAGGTGGTGGGAAACAGGCTCAAGGGACCCAGGGGCCAGATCACGGAAGGTCTGTGAGAACGTGGACTTGCTCTGAGTGAGAAGGAGAAACCAATCAAAGGTCTGAAGCAAGGAAAAAAATAGTCAATGAGCCACGTGGCTGGCTCTTTTGGAAGACTGAAACATAGAATATACTTGAAGGAAGCAGCAGGACGTTAGCGATGATAGATCTCGAGGGACCATACTAGAGTTCCTTTTCCATTCAGCTATGTGGCTGGGAAAATGGACTACAAAGCCTTGAATTAGAATTCTAGAAAAGTCTTATTTCTGAAATGTAAGTTAAGCCAATATTTACATACTATTTGTGTTGGTTGTATACTGAACAACAAATTACTCCTTGGTGGCTTAAAACAAACATTTATTATCTCACATGGTTTCTGGGGTTAGGAATCTGGAGGCAGCATAGTTGGATGGTTCTGGCTCAGGGTCTTTCATGAAGTTCAAGATGGAAACTGGGGCTGCAGTTTCATCTGAAGGCTTGGTGGAGGCTGGAGGATCAGCTTCCAAGATGACTCACTCACATGCCTAGAAAGTTATTCTTACCACATGGATTCCCTGGGACTGCTTGAGTGCCCTCGCATCATGGCAACTGGCTTCCCCTGAAGCAAGTGACCTTAGAAAGCAAAGTGGAAGCCCCAATGTCTTTTATGACCTGTGAAGGAGGTTATTTCAACAGCATCCTACTGGTTACACAGATCAGACCATTTCAACATGGGAGGGGGCTACACAGGGGCATAAATACCCAGAGGCTGGGATCATCTCAGGCCATCGTGGGGGCTGGCAATATTCATTTGGTTAAGGTCTTTTTATATGTGACTAAGCCATTTGAAAAGTTTCAAAGTAACACCGGAGGACTCCTTTTATTTATTTTTATTTATTTATTTTTGGCTGTGCTGGATCTTCATTGCTGCGCACAGGCTTTCTCTAGTTGTGGCTACTCTTCGTTGTGGTGCGTGGGCTTCTCATCGTGGTGGCTTCTCTTGTTGCAGAGCACGGGCTCTAGGCATAGTATATGTACAAATGTTGAGTGAGTGAATACCCATGGATGAGAAATCCAATGATCAGCATTGGATGAAATCAAATCACATCATTTGTTTCCAGGGACCTCATTAGTTGCCATGGTGTGGCTTCTGTCACCCAGGGTCTCCTGCCCGACCCCTCAAGGCTTTCCAGGGAGTGCAGGGCCAGAACATCTGCATTTACATAGTATCACTTGAACATTCTTTTCTCTGTTTTTAAAGCAATCTCTATTAATTAGAAGGGAGATACCTACCAAATAGTGTTTAGTGATGGATATATAGATGATGGCATATTCAGAAAAAAAAAATACTGTATTTTGTGCAATGAAGATAAACCTCAATAGACAGATGACAAATATCCAAAATGAGAGGAAGACAATGCAATTTTAAGTCAGTCTGGGAAAATAACACTACAACTGCCCATTCTGGAGTGGGTGGCTTTCATCCGATTCTGCTGAGGTGAAGCCCCACGTCCTAAGCGCTTTGGTGCAGAGTCTCACTCTTCTACGGCCCACAGGCAGCAGAGAAGATTTCTCAGAAGGAAAGCATGTGTCTGCTGATAGAAGGACTCGGTGGGATTGATAGAATTGAGGCTTTGCAACTTCACGAGAACCGTCAGATTGCCCTGACTGCTCTGAACATTACTGAGAGACACTTCTCTGAGGTAAGTGCCCAAACCTCCTGGGCAGGTGATCACCTGGCAGGTACCTGAGCTGTTCCTGGGATGTGGGTGATGGACAGGCGGGCTTCTCTCATGACTTGGCCCTGAGCTTCTCCCCATCCATGTTATGCAGGCCACCTTTGAGTGGCAGCTTCCTGGCTCCTGGAAGCTGTTCTAGACCCATTAATCTCATAGAAGTTTGTCCTGCTGCCTCTGGTGTAGAATTTCACTCGTTTTTGTTTTTGTTTTCCCCTACTCGCCTCTCTTAGGGGAGGGAGAGGGGGAAGAAAGGAGTATGATGCTAAAGTGACTTTGTACTGAGAAATACAAACAATGAAGGCAGGCCTAGCTTTTGAACAAACTTTTTTGCTACTTACTGAATTCTGTCTCTTTCCAGAATATGTTGATTGGGAATGAACTCAACAAAAGGCTCCCAGAATTCCTGCAGGAGCAGGGAATAATGATCAGAGAGCATTAGATACTTTTTAAAAGTTTTTTTTATAGTAAAACATATGTAACATAAAATTTACCTTATAAATCTTTTTTTTTTTTAATTTTTGGCCACACCCCACAGCATGTGGGATCTTAGTTCCCTGACCAGGGATCACACCGCAGCCCCCGCACTGGAAGGCAGAGTCTTAATCACTAGACCGCTGGGGAAGTCCCTACCATGTAAATCATTTGTAAGTGTACAGTTCACTGGCATTAGGTACATTTCACACTGTTGTGCAACCATCACCACGTTCCATCTCCAGAACTTTTCCAAATGAAAACTCTGTCCCCATTAAGCAATAAATGCCCCGTTTCCCACCCCACCACTCCCCGCCAGGCCCTGGTAACCACCATCTTACTTTCTGTCTCTGTGAATTTGACTACTAAGTGCCTCATAAGAGGAATTGTATGGTATTTGTCCTTTTGTGACAGGCTTTTTTCACTTAGCATAATGTCTTCACGTTTCATCTGTGCTGTAGCATTTGTCAAAATTTCCCCCCTTAAGCCTAAATAATACTCTATTGTATGGATATACTACATTTTGTTCATCTATTCACTGATGGACACTTGGGTTGTCCTTTTGGCTATTATGAATAATGCTGCTATGAATATGGGAGTACAGATATGTCCGAATTCCTCCTTTTATCTCTTTGGGGTAGATACCCAGAAGTGGAATTGTTGGATCATATGGTAATTTTGATTTTCATTTTTGAGGAACCACCATATTGTTACCCATAGTGTATATACCATTTTACATCAACACACAAAGGTTCCCATTTTTCAACATCTTCACCAATGCTTGTTTTCTGTTTCTTTTTGTTGTTGTTTTGTTTGTTTGTTTTCTTGTGTTTTGTTTTTTGATCATAGCCATTTTAATGGGTATGAAGTGGTATCCCATTGTGGTTTTTCTCTTCCAGTTTTATTGAGATATAATTGACATAAAGCACTGTATAAGTTTAAGGTGTACAGCATAATGATTTGATGTACATACATCATGAAATGATTAGCACAATTAGTTTAGTGAACATCCATCATATCATAGGTATAAAATAAAAGAAATAAAAGGAAATATTTTTTTCCTTGTGATGAGAACTCTTAAGATTTACTCCAACAACTTTCGTATATAACATACAGCAGTGTCTTTTTAATTAATTTATTTATGTATTTTTGGCTGCGTTGGGTCTTGTTGCTGCGCACAGGCTTTCTCTAGTTGTGGCTAGTGGGGGCTACTCTTTGTTGTGGTGCATGGTCTTCTCATTGTGGTGGTTTCTCTTGCTGCGGACCACGGGCTGTAGGTGCGCGGGCTTCAGTAGTTGTGGCTTGTGAGCTCTAGAGCGCAGGCTTAGTAGTTGTGCACACAGGTTTAGTTGCTCTGCGGCATGTGGGATCTTCCTGCACCAGGGATCAAACCCGTGTCCCTTGCATTGGCAGGCAGATTCCCTTGCATTGGCAGGCAGATTCTTAACCAGTGCACCACCAGGGAAGTCCCAGCAGTGTTAATTATATTACTTATGTTGCACATTACATCCCTAATAACCACTTATCTTATAACTAGAAGTTTTTACCCTTTGACGGCCTTCATCCAATTTGCCTTCCCCTCCCCCCCCACCTCTGGTTACCACAAATCTGATCTCTTTTTCTATGAGTCTGCTTGTTTTTGAAGTATAATTAACCTATAATACGACGTTAGTTCCTGATACACAGTATAGTGATCTGATATTTCTATACCTTTTTAAATGTATAGGAAATGATCAAGGTAAGTCTAGTTACCATATGTTGCCATACAAAGATATTACATATTACTATATTCCCCATACTGTATATTTCATACCCATGACTCATTTATAACTAGAAGTTTGTACTTCTTAATCTCCCTCACCTATCTCTTTCATCCCCCTTCCCTCTGGCAACCATCTGTTTGTTCTCTCTACCTATGACTCTATTTCTGTTGTGTTTGTTTTGCTTTTTAGATTCCATATATAAGTGAAATCATACAGTATTTGTGTTTGTCTGACTTACTTCACTTAGCACAGTGCCCTGTAGGTCCATCCATGTTGTTGCAAATGGCAAGATTTCATTCTTTTTATGGCTGAGTAATGTTCCATTGTGTGTATATATATATAATATCATATCATTTATCCGTTCATCTATCAGTGGGCACTTAGGTTGCTTCCATATTTTGGCTTTTGTAAATAATGCTGCTATAAACATTGGGATGCATGTATCTTTTCATACTAGTGTCTTCATTTTCTTTGGGTATATACCCAGGAGTGGAATTACCGTATCATATGGTAGCTCTGTTTTTAATTTTTTTGAGGAACCTCCATACTCTTTTCCACAGTGGCTGCACCATGTTACATTCCCACCAGCAGTGCACGAGGATTCCCTTTTCTCCACATCCTCGCCAGCACTTTTTTTTTTTTTTTTTTTTTTGCGGTACGCGGGCCTCTCACTGTTGTGGCCTCTCCCGTTGCGGAGCAACAGACTCCGGACGCGCAGGCTCAGCGGCCATGGCTCACGGGCACAGCCGCTCCACGGTATGTGGGATCTTCCTGGACCAGGGCACGAACCCGTGTCCCCTGCATCGGCAGGCGGACTCTCAACCACTGCGCCACCAGGGAAGCCCTGTTGTATTTTTAATAATAGTCATTGTGACAGGTGTGAGGTGATATCTCATTGTGGTTTTGATTTGCAATTTCCTTGATGATTGGTGATGCTGAGCATCTTTTCATGTGCCTGTTGGCCATCTGTATGTCTTCTTTGGGAAAATATCTATTCAGTTCCTCTGCCCACCTTTTTTTTTTTGTGTGGTATGCGGGCCTCTCACTGTTGTGGCCTCTCCCGTTGCGGAGCAACAGGCTCCGGACACGCAGTCTCAGCGGCCATGGCTCACGGGCACAGCCACTCCGCGGCATGTGGGATCTTCCCGGACCGGGGCACAAACCCGTGTCCCCTGCATTGGCAGGCGGACTCTCAACCACTGCGCCACCAGGGAAGCCCCCTCTGCCCATTTTTAATCAGGGTTTTTTTTTTTTTTTTTTTGGATGCTGAGTTATATGAGTTGTATATTTTGGATATTAACCCCATATCAGATATATCATTTGCAAATATCTTTGTCCATCCAGTAGGCAGCCCTTTTCATTTTGTTGGTAGTTTTCTTTGCTATGCAGAAAGCTTTTTCATTTTCTATAGTACCATTGTTTATTTTTGTTTGCCTTACCTGAGGAGACCTATCCAAAAAAAATATTACTAAGACTGGTGTCTGTGTTTTCTTCCAGAAGTTTTATGGTTTCAGGTTTTATATTTAAGTCTTTAATCCATTTTGAGTTTATTTTTGTATATGGTTTGAGAAAGTAGTACAGTTTGATTCTTTTGTATGTAAACTGTCCAGTTTTCCCAACACCATATTTTGAAGAGGCTGTCTTTTCCCCATTGTATAGTCTCGCCTCCTTTGTCGTAGATTCATTGACTCTTTGTAGTCTTCCATTAGATATTTTTCATATGAGGAAGGTGAGATCAAAGTTCCTAAGTGGCCAGGTAAACATGGGACTAGGGGTTTACACTCTGTTAGGTGTCAAACTTGAATCATTAGCAAAATCCAGAGCCATACAGTAAATATGACCAGATTGGTAGCTCTTCCTAATGAGTGGCAGCTAATCTTAGTTTGGGACCAAGAGGATGCTCTCAAAGCAGAGAAGACCCAGAACAGTGATTAGCATCTTCTGGGTTAAAGCCTCCTAAGAAAACCTTGTAATTAGGAAACTCATCCCTTAAAGGGGAGACGGCTCCTGAGGACTCCTCCAAGGGCTCCAAGTTAAAGACTTCTGACCTAGAAGCAATTGCTACACCTATCATACCCTTAACTCAATGTAAGGTTAATGTTCTTTATAGCAAAACTGCTTTTAAAAATAAGCCAGACACAGGGGACTTCCCTGGAGGTCCAGTGGTTAAGACTCTGCCTTTCCAATGCAGCGGGTGCAGGTCTGATCCCTGGTTGGGGGAACTGGATCCCACATGCCACGCGGTGCGGCCAAAAAAAAAAAAAAAAGCCAGACACAAAAGGACAAATACTGTATGATTCCACATACATGAGGGACCTGGAGTGGTCAAATTCATAGAGACAGGAAGTAAAAGGGTGGTTGCCAGAGGCTGGGAGGGAGATGGGAATGGGGAGTTGTTTAATGGGTACAGAATTTTGGTTTGAAATGATGATAAAGCTCTGGAGACAGATGGTGGTGGTGGCGAAGTAATGCTACTGAATTGTCTACTTCATGGTGAAAAAGGGTAAATTTTATGGAATGTATGTTTCACCACATGCACAAACTGCATTTAAGGTCCATCCTGAGCAATAGTTCAATGCTTCTCTCCTTTGATCTCTCCTCTGAGGGAGCCTCAAGTCTGACAGAGCAAATTCTAATCCACAGAAGATGTGAAGGAGTCAATTGTGCAGGAATAATGTGCTGAGAGCCTGGAGGTATAACAGTGTCTCTTCTCCCCTGAAGGAAGAAGAAACTGGCACAACCTTACCAGCCCGGGACCAAGGTCACGAATTCTTAAAGCACTTAACAAACACATACCAAAGCTCCACAACTCCTAAATCAGGGACCAGACCCAAAAAGTCACCTCTTTAAGAACCCCTTCCCCTTGGTGTACTACAGGTATAAAGCTTTTAAAATTTGAATGATAATAAAAATTTCCACACTTTCACCTCCATCTGTCAAAAATGCAGTTAAACCACTCGTACCTTAAAGCCATGTGGAATCCATCTCCTAAGAACATGTGGTTTAGTGGTTACCTTTCAGGATCTTCAAGGAAGATCTTCAGAGTGGGATGGTCTCTAGCTACCTAGACAAACTTTGAGTTGCAGTTTAACCAGTATTTCTTATATTTATTTGACGGTGGGCCCCCTTCCCTTTTCCTTGTCATGTAATGCCTGTTAATATAGAACATTCTTCAAGGAGAGCTGGGTGGGCAGTGGTCAAAGGGAGAGAGTGACTGGGATGGGAAAGACCTAGAAACACAGTACTAGGTGGCGTGGGAATGGATGTGGGGTATGCTTAAAGGAGGATTGGACTCAATTTGTATGATGTGAGTGTAGAGATTAAATCAAGTTATATTTTGCTCTAAAGCGTCACACGGAAATGTCATGCCCAAAGCACGGTCTTTGCTGGTCCTTGACAGGTAAGGAGGAAAGATGTGTGGGTGTCCATCCAAAATATGGCTGGAAGGCAGTTCGTGGTCTCACAAGCTTCTCATCCAGTTGTGAGAACAAATCTATGATTCAGTGGACACTGGGCTTTCCAGTCAGTATCTCATCTCCTTTTGGGGTGACTCCGCCAGCTGCTGAGGGCTGTGTTGGGGGGATGGGATCCTCTAAGGGTTCTGCTCTCCCACATGGAAATGGAGGGGACCTGGGAGATTCCTCTCAACTCCCTCTTTTGTTCATCAGCTCAGAACCTCCTAGTTGGGCACATCTTTGGCTAAGCAGAATCTCATTCTCTGAGGACCTTGAATCTGAGACCCAGGCATTGAGCCCAGAAGAAACAGAGAACTGGGAAGTGTTTGCTTCAGCGGCAAGGCTTTACACTCAGTGGAATGGATGTCCTCAGTGGTTGTCTGCTTCCTGCTTCTCCAAGGCTGCCCTTTGGACCTATACATTCTCCCATATTCCTCCCATAGACTGTCTTATATATAGAGAGATATATATCTTGGCTGTGCCACGCGGCTTTCAGGATCTTAGTTCCCTGACCAGGGATTGAACCCCGGCCACGGCAGTGAAAACGCTGAGTCCTAACCACTGGATCACCAGGGAATGCCCTAGATTGTCTTTTTTAAAGTAGCTATAGTTAGTTTCTGTTGCTTGCAGCTGGAAGAATCTTAACTGACACACATGAAGAGTGAAAAACTAAACCATAACTAGTTATTATTTAAATCCAAAAGCTCTATTACGTCTCATTCTGTCAAGTTCGTGTATAAAATTTGAATTTTTAAGTTAAAAATATGCAAAAAATATATAAATTATATATCAAATATATTACTAGTGTATATATATCTTATCTATTATATATAAATATACTTTAAAAAATGAAAGACAAAACAAAGAATGGGAAAAAAGGTAATCCTTCCACTCCAGCACAACTTTTTTTTTTTTGCCACACCACGAGCCATGTGAGATCTTAGTTCCCCGACCAGGGTCCCCAGCACAACTAGTTTTATGTTTGCAGTTTCCCTTCCAGTTTGAGTCAACATACCCCTCCCTTTTTTTTTTTAACCTGATTCGGATCAGATTTTTTCAACATTTTAAAACATCACTTTTTCCCCCTATCAGAGGGGAAGGCAGAAGGTGAGGTGGCTTACAAAAATACTTCGAGAGAAAAACATTTTAATTAAAAAAACTTTGGGGCTTCCCTGGTGGCGCAGTGGTTGAGAGTCCGCCTGCCGATGCGGGGGACACGGGTTCGTGCCCCGGTCCGGGAAGATCCCACGTGCCGCGGAGGGGCTGGGCCCGTGAGCCATGGCCGCTGAGCCTGCGCATCCGGAGCCTGTGCTCCGCAACGGGAGACGCCACAACAGTGAGAGGCCCGCGTACCGCAAAAAAAAAAAAAAAAAAAAAAAAGTTTGAAGCCCTGTCAAGGTTAGTCACTGTTGCCCAAATGGTCTGGCCTTGCTGGCTCTTAACTGTTAGCCTCTTTTCTCTCAGCTATTCTTTACTAAAATTGCACAGCAAAGGAGTATTTATAGTTTAAAGATACTGATACCAACTTGTCTAGCAGGGTTTTAAATACAGGAGTTATTTGCCTATTGTACATGGTTTGGGTGCAAAGAGATGGTGTTAGTCACCTTCTGGCTGGATGCCCGCGTGCTTGGACTAGGGATGTTGCAGTGACTGGCAGAGAAACAGACAGGAAGGAAGGAATAACTGGCTCTGTCAATTTCACGATGTAAAAGCTACACGGAAAAACTCTGACCCTCATGCATTTACCCCCAATTTGTTATATACCGTAGAAGAAATGTCAGTCTCTTGGTTAACCACGTACGATCCATAATTCATCTGCTGTTTTCTGAAACGTGGAGTGACTGTTTAACCATAATAGCACGTGACCCTTTAGGCATAGCAGAGAAGATAACTGGACTTGAACTCGCAAGCTCTGGACTCCAGACCTGGCTCCTTTTCTAAATCCTCTGCTCTCTTTGTGCCTCACCCGTCAATTCTTCTCGTTCCTTTGGTCTTCAGGTTTTCATCTGTGAAATAAGGATTACATAAGTTAATAGTCATATAATGTTTGCATGTATTTTATTTTACATGAGACTCATGACCTGAGAAGTAGGTGAGGCAAAAATGATCAATTTCCAAGTAAAGAAGCTGGAACTCACAAGGTTATCTAATTTGTCTTGCATCTTTTAGTAAGGGACAGAGCAGGGCCTCAGGTACCACCTGACCGCAGGGCAGCTTGCTTCTTCCGGAACAAGTGATCTGAGGGTGTGTGCATGGGAGAGAAAAAGAGAGAGTGCCCAAGACAGAAGTCACAGACCTTTATAACCTAATCTCAGAAGGGATATAGCATCCCTCCTGCCATCTGCTATTGGTTGTACAAACGAACCCTCATAGAAAGTGGGAGGGGCTACACAGGTGTGTGCGACCAGGAGACAGGGATCACTGGATGCCACCTTGGAGGCTGGCTACCACGCTCTGCCACGCTACCATGTGTTCGCATTTTAAAAGACCTCATTTAGGTGATAGCCTAGAGCCCGTGAAGTCTCAGCAAAGAAATAGAAGAGATGAAGAAGAACCAAATGGAAATTTTAGAACTGAAAAATATGGTAACTGAAACTAAAACTTTACTGGATGGGCTCAACAGCAGAATGGAGGAGACAGAGGAAAGAACCGGGCTACCTGAAGAGAGAACATTAGAAAGAAGCACCTAGATCCAACGACCAGTTTACAGGAAATCCAGAGGACAGAGGAAAATGTGAAGCTGCACTTCAGATATGCCCTCGGCGAAATCCAGACTGGAAGAAACTCTGCAGGACAGACAGCTGTTTCCTCATTTAATAAATTTCAAATAAAAAATTGCACATTGAGGGAACCTATAAAAGACATATTGACCAGCTGGAATGTGTATTTGTATTCTGATTACAACAAATGTAAAAATAAAACACATTGGACATTTGAGACATTGGAAACTTGAACATTGAATTGAGGTTTGATATTAAATAATTGTTAATTTTTTTAGGTTTAATATTAGGGTTATGTTAATTTAAAATGTCATTTTAAAGAGATATGTACTGAATGATTACAGATGCAATGATGTTTGGAATTTGTTTCAAAGTAATATGGGATAAGGAAGTAGAAAAGAAATATATTTTGTGCATCTGACAATGTGGTGATGGCTGGTGATGGGTCCATGGTAGGGGTAGTTATTATACTATTCTGGGTTTTTTTTGCCCTGTGTGGATATTTGAAGTTCTCCATAATTAAAAGTTAAAAAGAAACCCTTATGTCCTCTTACTCCAGGGGGCTGATCATCTGACCCTTCCCCTGGCAGTAAATTGGAAGTTTTCTCAATTGGGTAAAAAAGGTCTTTGTACTAGAATACATTGGGCAACGTTGAAAGCAGATTTATTGTGCTGAATGCAGGGGAATTAAATAAATTACATAGGGAACAGTGAGCACCCCCTCATCCCCACACCCCACTGGGTAAATGGAATGCTCTCAGCCAGGTGTAGATCCTCCAAGTAGGAGACTAGAAGATCCTTCTCTGGGAAATCTGACCACCCGAGAGAAAAGACCTAAAGACACTGGTGTTGTGGGCTCCACAAGGAAACAACCAGTCAGATTATCCCAGGGTCTCAGAGCTTCCGATCAGCTTTTTAGCACCTCACTCTTAAATGAACAGGCCAAGGGCCACCAGGAATCATCAAACATTTGAGGAAGGTCTTTGACATAATAGAGGCAAAACAAATAGCACTGGTGGGAGATCTGGAAGAAAAGTCATACAAAGAAAAAATATTAAACAATCCTGGTATCATTAGTATACTCAAGAGATTAGCTATTGCTTCCAAGAAGCAAAAATAGGATGCTGTTTAAAAAAAACCCAAGAACAAAAAGTACTCTTAGAAATTAAAAATACGTAGTAGAAATGAAAAACTCAACAGTAGGGTTGGAAGATGAAGTTGAGGAAATCTCTCATAAAGTAGGGCAAAATGATGAAGATAAAAAAGGTTATATAAATCTTGGAATCCAGGAGGTCCAAAATCTGAATAGAGCTATTCCAGAAGTAGAGAATGAAAAAATAGAGAAGAAAATTATCACAGAAATAATTCGAGTATTTCCCAAAGCAGAAGGAAACATTTCCAAACTGAAAGGATCCAGCAAGGGGTCCAGAAAAATGCATGAAAATTAACCGATGCCTAAAGCACATCACTGTGAAATTTCAAAACTCTGGTAAAAGAAAAGATCCTACAAATTTCCAGAGAGTAAAAATAAATCATGTATAAAAGATCAAGAATCAGAATGACTTTCTTCTTACTCAGCTGCTGGTCATGAAACCTTTTATCAGACCCAGTCAGCTAATCTATTCATGGGAGAATCCTAATGGGAACGCATAGATAAGAAATCTGAACCAACTGTTCAGAAAAATTAACCCAGGCTCCTGTTGTTAAATTTGCATGATCAAGCACAAGAAGAAAATCAGCATGATGAAACAGAAAGGCCAAGGTGAATGAAACAACTTTCGCTCGAAGACATATAATTCAGAGAA